ATGCCTGCTTATACTGCAATTTGAGATTTCATAAATTTAAAGATACATACATAAAGTCCTATTGGAAGGTCAAACGTGTTGCCAGACCAAAATGAAAGCCAAATATTATTTCTAAAAAATTGTCAGTCATAAGTTTAGCGATTTCCTCGATTATGCATGAGATTATGTAAGTAATATTAAAGTATTAATAAGGTAAAAACATACACAATATTTGTTCCTTGCATCATAACAAGCAAGAAAATAATGATTAGCATCGATAACAATCCACCCGCATTCTTAAGATATGACAAATATATTTCTTTATTCACTGTCCCTCTGTATTGTTCTTCCGTTGACATTAACCCATTAGGCAAATCAAATGTCTGACTTTTTTCTTTCAATATTAATTCTTCATCATTTTTTATTTCATCATCATTTTTATTTTTACCATATTCAGCAATCAATTTTGAAAATGATTTCCCATTATTCATTAATTCTTCATAAGTTCCTTGTTCAGCAATTTCACCGTTTTCCATATATATTATACAGTCGACTTGTGGCAGATAATGTAAATGATGTGTAACAAATAACCGTGTTTTTTCGGCAAATGCACCTTGAATACAGTTTGTGAATAAGTCTTTTCCAACATGTGCATCAACTGCCGATAATGGATCATCTAATAACACGATATCTGCACCATAGTACACAGCTCTTGCGAGGTTGACACGTTGTTTTTGTCTAAAGATTCAAAATCGAATTTTTTTTTAAACTTTATATTTTGTTAATATATATAATTAATAAAATGCTTACCCTCCAGATAAATTAATTCCTTTTTCTCCAATTTCGGTCGAGTCACCTTTAGGCAGTGTTTTTAAATCTTGTTCTAGACAACAATCTTTAATCACTTGTCGATATTTTTCTTTATCAAAAGGTAATCCAAAAGTAATATTGTCCCTAAGTGTAGCGTTTTGAATCCACGCACTTTGAGGACAATACCCAACATTTCCTCCAAATAAGACCTCTCTTTTAATTTTTTTCATTTCACCAACCAGAGCTGACAATAATGAAGATTTACCAGACCTTACGGAACCAACAATGGCAATTAACTTTCCATGAGGTATTGAGACATTAATATTACAAAGTTGAGACCTTGGAGAAAATGGATGAGAATTTTCAAAGTTTTCAGCTAAATCAGCATGTGTCAAAGCTGTAAAGGTGTCTAGAGCCTTTTCGTTACTAATAATGGGAGAAGAATCATTTTCACTTTTATCACTTTTTTTATGATTTTCTGACCTTTTTTCTTTTTTCCTTTCTTTTTTTGAATCATCAGTAACTTCTTCTGGTGGAGCACTTTCCCAGACAAATTCACCATCAGTAACTTTAATAGCATATTGTTCGTCCGGATTGATTCCCGGTAAAACTGATAATTCATCAGCCTGCAAAAAGTCATTTATACGGTTAATTGATACGTAGGCATCACTAATAGAAGCTATAGCTACTGGCAGGAACATTAAAGGTATTAGGAGAAGGTTGAATAATGCTAAAGAAGAGAATACGATTTCAACGTCAAGGTTGCCTCCTGTCAATGAGAATGTTATAAATGATAAGATACTAGCAAGTATTGGATAGACCTAAGAGATAAAGAGATAGAAATAAAATAATAAACAAAGATATGATCAAACATGGCAAATATAAGAAAATTACCAATGAAACACCTGTAATTGTAGCTTTAATAGTTAACAAAAACCTAACTAAACTAATCTCTTTATTTCTTAATTTATTAAGAGCATCTGCAAAACTATCTTCCCAAGCATAATATTTAATCACTCTAATCCCTAATAAAATTTCTTGTATTGATTTTACTCGTTCATCTGTAATACCAGCGGCTTTAGCCCTAGTACGTGCCAATAATGACATAACCTTCCATTGCATAGGGCACAATATCACCAATAAAGCAAAACCTGCTAATGCAGATGGCCCAATATTAAATACTAACAAACTCAATATTATACAAATTTGAATAGGAGCGGCCTAAATCATATGGAAGTAACCACACACAAAGTCTATACGTGTAGTATCGGTAGACATTAGATTAGTGATCTTTCCATTAGTAAATAAGCTTCTAGCCTTTCCACTTAAAACTAAAGCCTTCCGATAGTACGAGAGAGGAAACCGGTTTCCATTACATAATAAAAGTATAAGCTAAACAAATTCATATAGGCCATCTCCATTAAGAACATGACAACGATTAATACATAGCCAACATATTTAGGTGGTTGCACACCGTTATTAAGGTTGGCGAAGTATGCATCAGAGATAAATTTCAATATCAACTACAGTATCGATAATATCAGAATATTAAGAGAGAGATATTAATTGTTATCAAGAATCATACGTGAAAATACAAGTGCACGTGACACATACTCTTAAAATCAAAGGTGAAATAGCTGCAAATAAATCACTAAAAAATCTAACTATACCCGCCAAGCAAAATCTAACCCACAAAACTCTATATAGAGCTTTTATTAAAGATGGTTTCTTTCCTAACGCAATTTTTTCAACTTCTTTTTTCCATTCTGCTTCAAATTTATCAGTAACAATTTTAGCAGTTCTTGCGTCATTCAAAACAAATAGATCTTCTTTTTCCAAAGGACGTTTGTAACCTAAGCTCATTAAATCGTTAATCCACCAGAAGGTGAGTTTTGAAAATATGTTTGCATTTGTCTCGGGTATTTTAATGTTCAGACGAGGAGGAACAGGGTTTGATTTTCCAAATATCATTATAAAAGAAATTTTTGTTCGGATATTCGGTTTAAAGAGTAACTCGCTTTAGAATAACAGAACAACAGTAAATTATTTTAGTATATATATTAAATAAATATGTGTAATTATTTTAATCTACAATTTATTATTAAATTGAATCATAAAATAGTGCCAAAAAAACCAAATCAAATCATAAATCTATAAAATACGTCAATTTTAAAGCTAAATAAAACGAAGACTTGTGTTGCAATATAAAAAATATACAATATGATATACAGTTAAACACTCTAAATTCAACTCTAAGCGTACGCCTCCACTTAAGCCGAACTAATACAACATTTATAGATTTTTACTTTCTAATTGAATTTGTACTAATCTCTTACTTATGTTCCGTAGTAATGCATTTTGAGTTTATTGTCATTTACCAATCATAGAATTTTAACCATTCCAATGATGCCAGAAGTCTATACTAGGCAATAAAATAATATAAACTTAAAATGAATCTTTTTTATAAAGGCAATTTTTTAAAAGCCACTTGGCATTTATTGAGCTGCCTGGGGATCGGCAGCCGGCTCATGTGATATAAGACAAATCGAATTTGTCACGTAACTACTGTAAATGCGTGCGACAAAATCGAACTTGTCATGTGACAACTGCGAATTGAAATGATTAAATAGGCACGTATGGATTCTGTGCCAGGTTATGCTGATCACTGCCGATCATTGATCACATCGGGTACACAAGATGCATAATT